AATTTCTCACTGGCATTTGAAATTTCAGAACAAAGTATACGTTGCGTAAGCCTGTTTAATTTCATATGCACTTATAAATGATAATACATTCTTTACAAATAACCCATTATCCATGATTTATCTTCTGAATCTTTATAAATGACATTAGGACTAGGTACTTACGACGAAAATACATAACGATCATTACTCGAGCATCTGTTCATTATGAATATCCATATACAGTATGGTAATTTTTGCTTGTCAGTACATGTATTTAACCATGTACCACTCTTCTAACGTAGTCGATTGCGGTCGTCGTGTGGTTTGTTATGAAATTTGAAACGAATATATGAGATATTTAGCGTTGGACTATGAGGTGAACAATCAAATGTGTAGTAAAATTTTACGCCAGTAATTGGGCGAAAAATTTCAAACACAGCGACGAAACGAAATTCCGCATCAAGGACAGAAGACATCCTAGCGCATTTCCCCATTATTTTCTAAACGAATAACATGGCACAAAAACCTCAAAATTTCTCCAGATCGAAGAAAATTTGCCAAACGTTTGTGGATTTCCTCAAGAAAGTCCGGACTGCTGAAAACAAAATATATATGTCGCTTGACAGTCAAAAAAAATAGATAAAAAGTCGTGAAAAATACTCTGAGGATGTGAGCTAATTAAAACCAACCTTATCAGAAAGTTAAATTACTCAACAAAACCACGATTCAAAACAACCCGAAAACATATAAAAATGAAGATATTGTTTAAATTTTCGCTAACAATATCCAATAATCTGATAACAAACTAGTGCAAACCGAAAAAACTTTCTACTTGAAAAGGAGACAAGAAAGGAATTAAAATAATTAGGTAGGTTAAATGTAAACAAACAAATTATTCTGCTAGATCTGCGTTTTTGTGTGACTCAAACTCTATTTGAATGCATCGACTAAAGGTAGTGGAAACTCGATTTATCCACCTTTATACGCAAAATTCGAAGCATCAGCAGTAAATAATCGTTCTTCTTTCCATTACATTCAGTATATATCACTCAGTCTGAAGTTTTCTATTATTTGCAACAAGCGTGTGGTGGTTTGTTTATGGTCTAGGGACAAGCTAAAAACAAACCCGAAAAATTCCGGTCGATTACTGGCTGATTCAAAAATAAATATCCGAAGTATGTAATTCTTGGCAACCAGACAATAATAACAAAAAGCGGGCATATTTTAAATAATTACGAACCTCTTGGAATTTCCTGCAAGTAGTCATTTCCATTGAACAGAAATACAGTGATGTAGAAATTCGTCCGGATCGAAATTGATCGGTCATTTTCTACACATCCAGCGTCTACGGGTTTTGATGAATGTATACAGATTTGAATTGGAAATCGCTATGAATATGCCACAGGTATTCGGAGTTTGACAACGCCTTTACAGGTGACACCTTCATAATCAAAGTAAATTAACCCAGTCAACTCAGATGTCAAAATTTAGGGCTTCGAACATATAAGTGGAAAGCTATCGGTGTGTCGAGAAGCACTTTGTCTAAGGTGGAAAACAGTTACCAAGAATATAGAGGACAAAGTACCCACTAGTGATCTGGTGCGGATACATGACCAGACGAATGATTGGGCAGGACAAAACGTGTTTGCTTTTCGACTCAACAACACAAACAAACAGGTAAAATAAAACGTTACACAGTGTCCTACTAGCGGTTGTCGTCTAAGTTGTACAGCTGTCCTATAACTAGTTTCGATTCTGATTAATTTTGATTAAGCCTTTTTTCAACTTAATTAACAGTACGTTTCATTAGAACAGCACCAATCCGTCTACTTTTTTGCACTGTTATGCTCGCCAGATCTTATGACAGACTCTAGCTAAAATGTTGTTTGAATAAATATCTCTCAATGATTCATCCTCCTCCGCATGTATGTATGTACTCAAATCCTGCTACTAGCTTTTGCTCTGCGCTTATACGATCTGACTACAAATTCGCCTCTGTATTTGCTCGCATATACATATCCACATGTCTGTTTTAAATTTACTTGACGCGCTTTTTGTTATAACTTGCCAGTTGAATGCTATCGGGTCGTCGTTGATTGCTATGTCGAACTTGATTTTTGCTGATAATTGTAAAAACGAGGAACCTCTGCGATTCCCACAACGCGAAAGCAAGAACACAAAAACTGGTATAAGTGAAGATTCATTAACCCCAAAACACGACGACGACGACCCTAGTCGAAAAAACACTCATTTATATATTCATTGTACACCCATTTTGCTTAATAATTAGGATGAAGTCACATAGATATCAAATCACATACTGAACAAAGTTCATATCCAGTGGATACAAAAATATCGTATATTACACAGAATAAAATATCATACGGGAAAACAAAAAACATACAACACTGAGTAATCATTACACTGAATAAAAACGGAAGTAATGTTGAATAAGATTTGTAAGGGTAAACCATTCGAAACTGAACTTTTCTTTCCATTGTATCACTTATAGCTTTGTTATCCGTGCTATCCGCCATTTAACTATTGTTGCGGCTTCGAATTACTTTCTGATTTCAAACACCGTTGAAATTTATATTATAACAGTTATCGAGGTGATTGGTTAACGAAACAAAGCGACCTCAACATATTCTGGAAAACTTTTCTCCCAGAGCTCGTTGTTTTGGGTCTGTTACCAGGTAGTAGTGAAGTCTCGTAGTGACTGCTGACTACCGGTTTGGGAATCGAAAATGAGAGGCCCATGTGTATGGAGGAAAAATCAACATTGATATGTTTACTTCTGAAAACAAGACACAGATACTATAAATGAGATGCTCTGTCCGGAGGTGCAATCCTGCAATCATCAGCATACACGTGCACGAAGGTGAGACCTCTAGATACGTCATCTATGACTCTCCGGAGAGTTCGTGCAGTACGTCCTAAACCGGAAGGTTTGAGCGAAAATTCGTGATGATGGTGTTTATATGAATGTCGTTAACAGCCGTGGGAATTTAGTGACAGTCCTTGACAGTGTCGAATTTCGAAAAAAACAGTCTCATCTTTCAAGTCAGTTGTCAATTCGCGAATGTGAGACAATGGATATTGATCATGAGTGACCTATGCATTCAGTCGCCGATAGTTACTTTTTGAACGCTTCCGAAAATACAAGTGGTCATGAATCGAGATGTAGTGTGTAAGATTGCTTGTTGCACATATTAGTTTCCGTCGCGTTTTGTAAAGTAAGAGATAATTGTTCAGTATTGTTGGAAATATGGATCAATTGTATGGCTAATACTGACTTAGCATAAACTACAACTAAATAACAAATTTCAACAAACAGATAATTTAGTGCTTCCATCTATTAAGCTCCGTTTACACGTATCGACGGGTAGATTATGATGTTGTAACAGGTCTATACGGATGATCGGCGTAAAAGTCTCTGCAAAAACGTAAATCAGAATGACACCATCATCACTGACTGAATTATCCACACAAGGAAAGACTCATAGGTTTATTTATACAGAGCTGACAAAACTGCCTCAAACCACAATCAGTTCAATCTAAAGCATGTTGGTACTTCTACGTACGGTGACAAACAGTTAATTCCCTCGATAGGGAGATAAGCGGGCTTGCGGGGAAATCACAATACAAAAAACTAACGAGAACTTGGGCACTCGAAACATGAATCATTTCAAACGTGGCGGGAAGTATATAGTGGTAGGCAGAGTAATGATGCTCAGTAAATGAGTAATGGAGCTACGAATGTAGACTCCAGCGATTAGAGTTATTTTCAATGTGCTGCTGGAGAAAACGTGGTGAGGTGATTGTGGCATATTACAATGAGTATATCAAGTCACTTACTAGATCATCACCAACACAATCCTTTAGCAGACCTCGAAAATATGGTAATTAGTGAACGAAAACCCCAATACACTCCTTTTCTTTCTCATTAGGAGTTGGCCACATTTAGAGTGCTTTCACAGCCGAAGCAATTACAGCCGTCGTAACGGACAGCGTAAAAAGGGGACTTGACTGGCGCGTACCCAATCGTGCGTGACCATCCTGCCTCTTGAACTAGATGTAGCTAGTGGATATGTAGCGGTAAAAACATCCTCGAAATAAATATATCTGTAAGCCTCTAACTTTGATGCTGACCTCATTAATTTTTCTGGACTCAACCTAGCTAAATGCGATTGATCACATAACCTCACCAAATCATGGGTATGTACGCCGTGCTACTCATTTCTTGCAACTGTTAGCCAGCCTAGATAAGCGCTTCTAAGCATATTGACATTCTTCCGAAAAAACTTCGAACTCATTCACCCCTGCCCTCTGATCTTACTAGGTTAGTATCTTCCGATTATAAAGGTGTTGGGAACAAGAGCGTTGTTAAAGCTTGAATATGTGTGGCATCTCTCGATGACTAGTAACTTACTATCTGTTATCATCAACACATATTATTAGCTTGTTTCTATCCCGCCTATGATTATTATTATTTCTTTTTCCTTTTTGTTATTACGCTTCGATCTTCTCACACCACTTGCTTACCAATTAATAAATATGTTTATTTAATTCGTGAGACAGTCGCCAACTCTAAGCTTTTGAATTTTCACTTTATTATTTATTTGCTGTGCGACCAATAAACCTTCTATCTGTTCAGGTGACAGCCATCGGTACCCAGAAACTCTACTGTGCAGAGGCAAACCCACTCACTTATGTTGCAAAATTCACAAACACACAAATAACTAACAAACTGGTTAAGATAATTGAAATTGAGTGGCTGAACTTCCACTCATTGGACATTGCACAGGATTCTGAACAATAATGAAATACCAATAATACAGTGCAATGAAATCAGTCAGTTCATACGAATATTGGGAATATTGATAATTGAAGGTCAACTTAATCCCTCTCCGCTTGATCATAAGTTTCAAGACGCATTTGAATCTCGTCGAACCTCAGTTTTGGTTGTTAGCTTAACTTGGTTTTTAACTTACGCCATTGTAAATTTTTAGTAACTGCATCCATTTTAACACATAAGGGTATCCATGTGTTTCTGAGTTATGACTGAAGCTTTTTGTAATGTACATCTTGCTTGTCATTTAATATGTAGTGATATTACATCCCTACACTGTAATATCTGATTGCAATAGAATTCGAGTTAAAGATTGAGTTTATGGCCACAATTTAAGGTTTGACATGGGTCATATATATATATATATATATATATATATATGTAAGAAACTTTTCTCTCATCCCAATCAACCAACAAACGGAAACTGTCTACTTTTTGCCTAAATATACGCGCGAATCGTCTACTTTTCGCCTTAACATACTTTTGCATAATCCCAAAGGTCTCCCATGTCAGCCTTTATTCTCACAACACACCACACTGAAACTGCAATCCGCGTTAAAATGGCTTGTTTAAATGAATTAATTGGAAAGAAAAAGCGTATTATTACACAGCATTATTGTCATATGGCAGAAGCTTGAGCGTCAGTTATGCATTTTCATTGTAATTGCCAATTCATTGTTATTTGAGATCTTCAAAAGAAGAAATAGGTGATTATTAATATGGCATGTGTACTTAATTGCAAGTTCATTGAAAATCAAACAAACTTTCCCAACACTTGAATAAAGGTTTCCATGAAAGTAAGCTCATTTTAGAAAATGTATATTGAGAAATATGTTGAACATACAAATATTCCGCGGATTACTTCTGTTAGCCACTCCTTATTTAAGGAGTTATAACTGTGATGTTTCAAAACTGAAATATAGTTTCGTTAGCTGTGTTAAAAAACATGCCCCTTGTGATTCTCTCCATTTATTATCACGAATCACTCATGTTTGTTCGGAGATTTCTCAACCTTGATTTAGAAGTAATCCAAGTTTGATTTGTGAAGTGGACTACCATGAACATTTAAGTGTTAATCAGACTAAAGTTTGCCAACATTTCGTCTCATATTTGTGAACAGTTAATCAAATGCTTTCCCATCTATCGACTTGACGTTCCGACATCGTGAAAGAAGAACTCGACTAACAGTTAGTGTTAAGAATTGATCTACAACTACGAAGGTAGCTCTTAGTCAACTCTGAGAATAAGTTTAGTCAACGACATTCGAGAGTGAGTTCCATAAAATCCTCCACCATTGCTAAAATCTCTGAATCACATGTTTCTTTACATATCATGAGGGTGTGTTTATAGTTCCAGTATATATGATGCTCCCTAAACAAAACGCAGCATTTATTTCAGAATCGTCTCCGCGTTGTTTTACGTCCTACAAGCACTCACAAGCGGCCCGTTAATCGATGGTTCAATGGTTAAGACGCTGAACGTTTAGTCGCTAAACTCAGAGTTTTAACCCTGCTCCATCTACTGCAGTTTAAGTAACCCGATAATACTATTAGCCCTCACACTCATGCCCAAATACCCAGTAAATGAGCTAATCAGATGTTTTTTAATGACTAACGGGTCAGTTTGTTGTATTAGCATTCTACTTTATGTAACTAATTATTGGTAATTTAAGCAAATACTCAGTCAGTCATACAAAACGTGGGACCTGACATATGTGTAGAAGGGCTCATGTTGACGTGCTCCATTAGCATAGCAATATGAAACTCAGATCAAATCTTAATATGGTAAGAGTAGTAACTGTGTTATTGATAGTAAAAAATATTAGGTATCGAAGATCCTAATCGAGAAAGTATAAATTAGTGAGATAAAAACTACAGAAAGGTATTACGAATTTAGAGACTCGGATGCTAAGCGATGACTAAATGAACTTGAAAACAAACTGTCCTGTCTAAAAAAAACTCACGGCTGAATTATATACAGACTCTAGAAGGTACTGAAAATGTTTCGGCGTAAATAATAGTCGCTGAAAGTTCCGTAAAAATAAAGGGGTTCAGAGTAACCATTACGTTGACTGAATTTTATTCGTATTGTAAAAATTTGTCTGGCAAGTAATCACAATATCTAGACTACATAGAGGGCGCATATATATCTAGTGCCCCCTTGTACCAATATTTATATGTTTAAATAAATAAAACTACATACCTAGTGCACTACCGACATCATAATAAAAGTAGGTCATGCATCCTGATGTTGTCACTCCAAATCTTGCGACTGAAAACTAATTCTACCACTTCCTGTCTAACGATTTAATTGGACGCGTGATCACCTCTACAGTACCCGCTCAATAATACAATGCAGCGCTGTTCTTCCATCAGTTTTTGTTGTGTCCTATGAACTAACTCCTATCACGAAATTACTGCTTAAAGTTCACACCAGATTTTAAGTTAAAACATGGTACTATAAAATGTCTTTTGAAATGTAAAATTTATTCTGAATATTAGGATATTTCTCCCACACTGACCTTTGTCATGGCATTTGTAATTTGATTTGTGGTGTTTTATTCCAAACGATAAATCAACGTGGCCACGTTCCACATTTTTAAAGTTAACGTTTTTGTTTTAGACGGTTTTACTTGACTAAGTGCATTCACTATAGAGGAAAGCTTTAGCGATGGATAACTACCAGTCATTGTTACCCATTTTTGCAGCAGTTCTTGCGGTATGGAGTATTTTACTTGGAATGTCTTTTCATCAAATCGATGAAGGTTAATGCTCTAATAAAAATTTATAAATACAGGTCATGTTGGTGTCTATTACCGTGGTGGTGCTCTACTATCTCAGACCAACGGACCCGGTTATCATCTGATGATTCCCATCATAACAACATACAAACCTGTTCAGGTATGAATGACAGTTTTTCGGAATATTTCGTTTGGTAGATTACTTTACAAACTGATGAAGTAAAGGATGTTCCTTGTGGTACAAGGTAATTTAGTCAAAATTAATCATCTTGATTTGTCTTATATAGCTAAAAGCTAAACTGTGTCATCGAAGTGTTACTCGATTTAATCATTGAGCACTGATGTCCAAGATTCTCGCTATCCTAATACTATTTCGAATCTTAGCCAACTAGTAACATCTGTGGGCGCTATTCTGTAAATAGCGTTAACCAACGTATTAACGGTTTAAGGACTGTCTATTTTTAATGCTCAGAATACTTCAGGAACTATCGCATCTCCTCTCAAATGTGCTGCAACTAATTCTTATAATCGTAACAGCCACGTTGACTTGGTGGTCATGCTTGCTTATTGTCGTGGTATAATTAATATTTTATGTTCTTAAATAGTGAAAAACGCTTATAGAGGACTAAGGTACATTTTAGCTGTGTTTTTATTTAGATCTTATTCCTCACTGTCCTTGGTGTCATGGTGTGACCTTGAAAATTTCATGTTTTATGTGACCTGGTATCCTGTAGTACCAGACACTTTTGGTTGTAATTGGTACCGAATTCAGTTACGTTAGGAAAACAGCTTAAGATGGAGTTGAGGTCTGGCGGTCAAACTTCACAAATTTGAGCTACGAACTTTGCTCTATGTACGTATATGTATGCATTATCATTCGACCTGATATAAAAAATAAGACTCAAATCTGAAAAAATAAATCTCAATTTTCTCAGTATTCCGTTTTTCTCTTGAAGTCTGACCATGATGGTAAATTAAGTTAAAAAGCTATGAAAGCTAAAATAAAAAATATAGAATTCAATATCATACTCTTGGTTGGTTAATGAATTAATTCATTTATTTGAACACAAATATTGATACAAATGGGCACCGAATACATGTACACCACACAAGTTACTTGATTTGTGTGTGGGCTGTGATACTGCTCGTGTACCCAGACCGAAGCAGGCGGTTCTCTTAGGGGGCCACACCCGGAGCCTTCGACTTAAAGGTCTGATCCACAAGGCAGTGGAGCATCGTAAGGAGATGCAGTCCCATGGTAACCGGTGACCAATAATTGGTTCATACGCCATTTGTGCCCTCAGGTAGTGGGGCCCATGTGCACCATTGGTTTGAAATCAGGGTTTTCCAACTCCTCTGGGTGAGATCTCCGTGTCCACCAACCCGGTTAAAGCGCCGGACATTCGCTTTTCGTCCTCTCAATTTCGTAAACAACAGTGGTGCCGCGAGAAGGCAGTGAGTAGGACTTCCCTGACAGTGGCCGTATACGCGTGGCCATGTGAGAGCATTTCGAGAGGGACTGCTGACTCCCCATCCTCGGCCGTACCAGGGCATTTAGTTGATTAAAATAAAATGTTAATATCTTTCCTTAAGTTACTGACAATCTGTGATTCGGTTTGCAAACTATAGAGTTTTCATTTTAGTTAATCGGCGTAACGGTTACCAATGTTTCTAAACATTAGGTTTTTAAGTTTGAAATCAATTACGATGGCATGTATTTATTTACCGTGCAGCGTTTCTATTCGATACTGCTTTCCTCCGACCATTATCCTCTCTTTAATATATTGGTGTTCCGTTCCTAGAATACAACCTGAATGTCATAATTATTGTACCATACTCTAAGCTATTTGCTTGGGAGTCTCATCAGCCCTTGTGGTCTGGTGTATGACGAAATCTCAGCACGGATACAGAAGGCTCGACTAGCTTTTGCCAGCTTGCGTCATTTATGGCGTTGGCGAGATATCCGTCTATCAACTAAAGGACATGTTTACTGCGCAGCAGTTCATTCCGTCCTAATTTATGGCAGTGAAACATGGCCGGTAAGAGTAGAGGATATTCGCAGGTTACTAGTATTCCATCATAGGTGTCTTCGAAACATTGCTTGTGTATCCTGTGACCACCGAGTAATACAGTTGTTAGGAAACGGGTACTAGCTAAGGATGGCAAATCAATCGATGGAGTAGTGAAACTTTATCAGTTGAGATAGCTGGGACATGTGTTACGTATGTCCAACCACCAACTGCCTCGACGTGCGATGTTTCGTGGTGTAGGAGTAGGTTGGAAGAAATCTAGGGGTGGCCAGACCAAAACATTGAACAAATCCATGAAGTTACTGACAAGTAGACTGAGCCATGTTTGTAGGTGTAGATCACCTGGTTAGGTTCTATGAGACGACAACAACCGATCGTTAGAGATATGTCGTAAAATCGTTTGCAATGGCGCAGGTGCATCCACTCTTTGTGTTCTCCAAAATTCTAATCTTCTGAATTCTTCATGTCCTTTTTTTCGCTTTCCAAATTTATTTCACTGTATTATACTCGTTGAATAACATCTTCAAATCCTAGTGTTTCCGATTAGTGCCTATACTTTTACTACCTCTACCGCTATGGGATTTGAATCGACAATCTTTTCTGTGTGCTATTGCTGTATGGCAACTCGAACTGATGTACGTACGTACGAAGTCCCACGTTGTTACTGACTGGTATATATATATTGGAACGCATTTCATGTTGTAAAATGAGCGGTAGGATACTATATTGCAAATAACGCCTCCCGATCGTTTTGCTTATCAATTATTAATAATTGTAAGTAATAGGAATAATATGTTAAGATTCGGAGTTACTATAAATAGTATTGCCTTTCGGTGAAATATAATTATTACCAATGGAGCAACCGCTCGTCTTCAGATTTTACGGTTTGGAAGACTGAATCATTTCTGTTTTTATGCCACATAAAATATTCCTGATGAAAACTACTTGTGAAAGGTTTTCTGGTGAAAACCACTTAATCATTCTGTTTTACTATTTCTTTCGCTACGTCTTATTTTACAAGGCTTGTAAATACTTTTTTATTGATCTCATAAATGGTACTGTTTACATATTGTTTGCATATATACGTTCATCTAATCATTCCTTAGAAAAATATATCATTCTATTCGTTGTACATTTCCAGTTTTATGTTTAAAATTCATTATGTAACCAGTAAACTAGTCTGTTTTGAAATACCAGTACTTGTGTACACTTTGAAGCTGTTGTAAGCTTTCATTCTCGAGTTGATTTAATTAGTTGTTACAAGTCTAGGTTTTTCTTTCTAAAATGATGACTGAATTAAAGCATAATCATTGTTATTATCTAATGACCGATTAAAGTATGTCATTTTTATTATATAATGAGTTATTTTCAATCTAAAGAACACTAGGCGTAATGTTTTTATGCGTAGTAGTTAACTCCAAAGTTCCAGTTAATTAAGATAATATATTCTCACATAAGTAGAAGATACAATTTTAAATAAATATAATACATAATTTTTAGGTGCTCTGAAGATTCTCTTGTAATTGCCCAGTATTTATCCATACTACATTACATCAGTTTTAATTAACAAACAAGCGATTTCAGATGTCTACCTAACTCCGATGCGATACGTGGGTTGTTAAACATACTGACGATAGTCCATTTATATTTTTACTCATTTTTACTGTACTATTAAATTAATTAGTGTATCTTCATTGTCTGTCTTTGTTTCCTATTTTCCCTAATATCACCAGTGGTGGTGTTGTCATTTATTTTGATCGTGTTGAAGTAGTCAATTATTTGGCGGCTGAAAGTGGTAAGTTCAATGGTTTTACTTTTTTAGTTAGTCTGTTTTGTTCAATAAATTGAGAATCTAAGGCACATCTTTTGACTCTTTAAACAGATGCACAGCATGCACAAGGGTTTCAAGTATTTTTAGCAGTGTTGGACTCTGATCCAATTTATTTAGTTTTACTATACTGCCTAAATCGACTAAGAATATTAACGTTTTAAATCTATTGAAATGTAGTAACAATCCAGTTTAGTTGTTTGCTAACCATCAATCATAAGTAAATTGCTGCTAATCGATTTGGTGCTTTTAGACATGAGCTTGGTAAATTCTTATGAACCTACACTAAGCTATTATCAAATGATATAAGTAAAGTTGGAAAGACATTCCAAATATAATTATGACACGGTTTTAAGATTCTTCGGAGTTCTGCTCATCGTAGTGATAAGGTGTAACTACAGTATCAATCTATAGCATCTGATTCATGGTTCAACAATAAATAATTTCGTAATAGTACATTTTTGATGACTTAGAAAGTCGTCTCATGAAATTTTGACTCTTGCTAAAGTACATTCAAGCCACATAAAATAACCTAATAGTTCTATAGACTTCAAGAATTTATAGATTCACTAAGTAATAACGGTACGTGGCTTATTAACAACGATCAAATTGATGTTGAGAATATCAAACTGATTCAGAAAGATTTTACAGTTATAAAAGGAAGAAAACGACTAAAGCTTTCCATGTATTACTAAACTCAGCTACGCTCAGTACAAAGGAATGGTTAACTGTCCATCTAACTTGAACCATTTATCCAAATAGCTTTACTTAATTTATTCTGATCTTACACCATTAGCACATATTCTACTTTTTCTTAGTACAAATATCGCATTTTTCACAAATATTATATCTCATGTAAAATCACCTTTACCCAAATAACGTGTTTGGATTTTACTACTGTTTAATTGATTGGTATATTTTAAAAAACATTAAGTAGAGTTGGATAGTGGTTAGCAGTGGAATATAGGACATCCATTTCGTTCTGTTTGTGATATCAGCTAGATGTGCTTGCACCTCAGTGTTAGTATTGACACCGGGACTCCAGTTCAGTATTTTTCACTTCAAGTACTCAACGCATCATTCATGTAGCTACTGAATCAATATAGCCAGTAACTTGTGCAATGGATATGAATCTTCCCTTTGATATTAAGAAAAGCAATGGATTAGTCTCTCTTGATATATGTACATTATGTGCGGATTCCAAGTACATCCGACTGACAAGTCACAAATAGGAAGAAAGGAGCTCTCTGTATTCTATTGCTAACTACTATTCAACTTTGCTTAATATGCTCTAGATAGCTGCACTGTCAAGACAATTTTCATATATACCATGATCAATTGCAGTCCTTACCATTAACGAGAAGATTCAAACAACCTTCACAAATGAGTTATTTTAAAAATTGCTCTCTTATTATGTTAAGAGTGTTGATCAGTTATTATTTTAAGTAATACATGTTAAAACAGAAGTCATGCAGTAATCGCTAAACTGATATGATTGACTGCCTTAGTCATCATATGAAATTTCGACAAACATTGTTTTAGAATGTTTTCGTAAAGATATTTAGTTAGTGGAAAAACTATCTGATTATGTAATCCATTTTTGTATGTTTCTTCTGTTGTACATTCACTTTCCAGTTCATGATATTGTCAAGAATTATACAGCTGATTATGATAAAACACTAATATACAATAAAATTCATCATGAACTAAACCAATTTTGTAGTATACATACTCTACAAGAAGTGTACATTGAATTATTCGGTAAGTTTTTTATTTCTGTAATTTTCGAGACATTTTTTGTTTGAGTCTTCTTTCGTTAGTAATACAGTCTGTAAGACTTCAACTTATGCAGTTTTTGTATTATTTTCGGTAATAAGTGATAGTTCTGAAATACAAGAAATTCTCCGCTAACTTTTTCTAATTCATATTTCCCCATTGACCTCTTCTGTTATGTCTTTGTCTATTGTCGCCTTTATTTTGCTATTTCTGTTGTCTCGAGGTTGTTTCTGCCATATAGACAGAGTTGTTGTACTACAAGTTTGACTTTTGTTTGGAATAGTAAAGCACTAATGTGGGATTTTTAGAGACAACAGGTATCAGTTTTACATGTGGTTTCAGAATAGCTCTAATAGATATGTTTGTTGACAGCTGGTGAGCGAACTAACAAGCATAACCAAAATAGAGCCTAGCACATATGCTCTTTGGTTCAAGTTGGCATACCTGATTAGTGAAACAAGATTGAAATAGCGAGAGAGATCGGAATAATGTAGAACCAATGTTAAAAAGAATGGTTAAACCTTGAGAGCACATTTTTAAGAGACAGAGTAAAAAGATACGTATAAAGTTACTGGGATTCAATATCGAAAGGAAGGTAGAGAGTGAATGCATCTGTGCCATCGCAAACGATTTTGAGCCATGTTGCTCGAAGTCTTCAACCACTGATTGCAGTCATCATACGGACTCGAACCACATGCCAACATGCCTCAGATAAACAGTCAGTCACTTTTTGGTTTGACCGCCCCTAGCTTTCTTCCAACCTACTTCTTCACTTCCAACCATCATTCCCTGAATCATCACTGGTTTACAATGATAGTTTATCAACTTATCTAACTAGGCCCTTTTTATAACCATTAACGTGGTTTAAGCAGCATTTACTTGCCCCAGCTTGTTCACTTTTGTTTAAAAACACAAACTCAATGGTGTATTTTATATTCATGGACTGTTATTTTATAGTTTTTCGTCTGCTTTTCATACTTCTAAAATGTATGTGACAAAGAAACTACGTGATTTTGTTTTAATAGATCAAATAGATGAATTCTTAAAGCGAACATTGCAAGCAGATCTAATTTTAATGGCTCCTGGTTTATATATTCAAGCAGTACGAGTTACGAAGCCTAAAATTCCTGAAGCCATTAGACGCAATTATGAAGCTATGGAAGCTGAAAAAACAAAACTGCTAATTGCTGAACAACATCAAAAGTTAATTGAACGAGAAGCTGAAACTGAGCGTCGTCGTGCAATAATTGGTAAGTTTATTATTTTCTTCATATTATTCAACTCCCAAATACACATGCGTTTCGATAATGCAATGAGAAGACAAAGTTTATCATAATTATGTGATATATTTGCGCAATACATTCCGAACAATCTGATCACATATATACTTGTTAAGACATTTTAATATGAAAATAAAAGGTCAACTAGACTGGTTAAAGTTAAGCCGTAACAAAGAAAATAATAATAAAGTGCACAAAAACAGTGTGATAACCACTCTGGATAATAAGTCAGTATTACCAGGGTAGGTTAAGGGCAACGACAAATTGTTTTTGAACGCATAAAAAGGGTTTCAGTCTCGAAATTTATAAAAGAGACTAATTGTTTTAAATTTCTAAAAAGAAGACTCCCTACGGATGGGTTTATCAATTTAAAAAAGCTGATTTGTCTCTTATTTAGTGGTTTCATATCATTCTCTACTTGAATTTATTTCATTTGTATCATACAGGTCTCCCTAGCTTAGAACTCAGATCTACTGTGACAATGGTTTTGATTCGTTTTATTTTTATACATTCACTGTTATTCAGTGTAAATCATGTTGTCACCACTATTTTATAACAAGTGATAAACTACTCATGTTTTCAAATTGCTGTGACTCAAAGTCTGTAGACTATTAGATTTAATTTTTAGTTAGTTAATATTATGACATCATATGGCACACTTTCGGAGTTAGATATTTATGGTCAACCTGTAGAATCCATACAGATATTCTTATTTAACGACCGAGCTGCACAAAAATATTCTAAAGCTAAATGTCGAAATTTTCTGGAATTGTGTTAGTGTAATAGCTGATCAAATAAACATTGACAATTTTCAAACTTTAAATTCCAGTGTTCACGCATCACTTGCCCAATGAAAAGCATAATCCTTTCTACAAATAAAAAAAATCAAGCAGTACATGACTATTTAGATCAATAGTATCTATAATTAAAGATATAGATTTATCTTCTACATTTCCGAAAACAGATTAACCATTTAATTTTAACAAATTTTTATAAAGTAACCCACAGAATTAAACCAAACTAAGAGAAACACTTACGAATAGAAAAGTAAACTGAAATGTATCAGTATGATTATAACAAAATAAAATAAATGATTTACTGTAACAGAATAATACAACTTGTAACGATAAAATTGGGAAAATAGTTAAATATAACTGTAAGTACTCTTTATTAAGTCAAATTGTGAGTAAAATATGACATGAACTCTATTTTGCATCCGGTTAATATCAGCCACTGAAATCTTTCATTCAAAAATGTCTTCCTTGAACTTTAAAAACTTAAATGAATCATCGGTCTGCTTTAGTCTTTTTGATAAATTGAATCGTTATTCCACATTATCAAAGTTTTCACAGCAAAGAAATTGTTTCTAACCAGTTCTTTTTCAAAACATTACAATCATATTTTCATATACCGCCGTATTAATTTATAAACAAATTCTATGTTGATTACCCAGAATGTTAAAATGGGTATTTCTGACGAAAAATAAATAAAACAAGATTTATTAAGCATAGAAAATACATGCAATTCTTCGGGTAAGTAAATTAAATGTGCAACGCGTTCAATGCAAGTCCTCACTGGGGAGGTCCCGGTCGCTGCTGAAAGTAGTCCTTTACCGGGGAAAAATAACTCCCCAGTATCCTGTAATTTTCAGTGGTTTTTCTAGCTGAAGTCGGTTTGTGATAATAACTACAAGTTGACCGTTCTCCTCAAACCCTTTATTCTAATAATAACAAAATATAGGCAGTACATAAGTTTTTTTTAAATGTATGAACAAAAGCAATCAAAACAGAGGCATGGTAAAGACAAAATTTTAAAAAACTACATTTGTACACATTTATTTACTTCTAGAAATTTCTATTTTCAACACAAAGCTAACAAACAAAGTATATATCTTGAGTAGGAAGTAAATACGTCCAAACTTGTAAGATTATTTCGTGTTTTCCTTGATCTTTTCGTGAATCCGTTTTAGAAATCTTTTTTCACTTCATCATATTTCGTAGGTGTTGTAATAACCTTGATATGACAGGGATTAGTGATTTTTAGGTCTTTCAAGTCATCTCAAACATAATTGTGACCAATTATTAAACAATATTGTATATGATGTTGAGTTATTTACTTATAGGTATATGTCAATCGACCGCTGTAAGTTATTATCATTTTAATTGAGATCATGAACCGACCAATATTAGACCACCATTGAAAACCCGTGAGTACTAGACGGCCATTTTGTCCCAGTATGAGTACTCCTCAGCAATGTACATCCACGACTTCTCGCGCGCAAACGCTTAACCTCTAGACAACTGAGCCAGCATCCAATAGTCTTGATGTCTAACTTCAACCAATACGCGGTATTGCGCGATCATCGGTTGTTTACGGTGAGTAACTGCCTCACACCTGACACGGTTGAACTTCACTAGTCGTGGCTTTATGATCTCATATAAAAATCAACAATCTCCACAATCCTATCTGTCCAATTATTGATATGGCTCCTGTTATGCTTAAATAATAATCAGTTTTTATAATTTGTGTTTATTTCATAACATAACTTAATTCTTGAATAACAAATAAACTTTACCAGTCTTGTATGGTTAATAGTGTCAAATCAGTTACTTCTGGACACATGTGACTTCAAATTAATTTTATAGTTAGTGTTTGTACAGTTTAAAATAACAGTACCAATATAATAAAAAACTTTGATAGTTAGTTATTGCTTAGCATTGACTAACATTTCTGATTGATTGTACTTTAGCATTTTTATAATTCCTAATTTTCAGTTTCTTTTAGACTGTCATAATCATTTTTCACTTTATTCCAAAGTTTTTGAACACTATCGATTCATAACATACTTTAGCAACTGAATTAATACTTAACAGATAAGTCTATTAAATTTGGTGTTGACAGTCTTGAATGTTTCACATACACTACAATATTACATTCATTATTAGATTTTTATAAACTTAAGTTACTTGTAGCTGATGCAAGTTGTTGTTATATTCTTTATATACCTAAAATGAAGTTTTACTTTTATAATAAATTAGAGGCTGAAAAGCTAGCTGAGGTTTCTGCAATAGAATGGCGAGCTAAATTAGTTGCTCAAGAGCATGAACGAAAAATCAGTGAAGTTGCAGATGCCACACAACTTGCCCGATCTAAAGCGCTTACAGACGCAGAATATTATCGTGCCATGAAAGAGGCTGAAGCGAGCCATTTAAAGTTAACCCCAGCGTATTTGGAATTAGCTAAATACCAAGCTTTGGCACAAAACTCTAAAGTTTACTTTACCGGTGATCAAGGAAACCTTATTATGGATCTTTTGAACCAAATGTCTTCAAGTTTGTCTAAATCAAATGTGTCAACCAAAGACCAGGTCACATCTTCATTTGTGTAGCATTTCATTTTTTAGTAATTATACTACCTAAAAATTTTATATTTCATTCGAAGTTGTCTATTTATGTACATTTTTGTAATATTGTACAATAAACCAGAAACTTTTTACTTGTCAGTTCTTTGTTTTTTATACACACCAATTACAGATGTGATGCTTCATTTTCTAAGCCACTGATCTGTCATAACTTATGCCCTTGCACATGATGTGTTCATTTTTTTGGTGGTATTGAAACGTATTAGTATGTTTGCGATATTAGTAAGCGAAACTTTTTTATTTATTAGCTTAACTAGATTCTACAGGCATGCAGATCTGCTAGATAGAAGCAGCATTTCGTGTTACAAAGAAAGCTCAGTAAAATATTTGTAGCGCTATGGCTGATCAAAGTGGAGCGTCCTTTTAAGGTAACATTCACTGCGATTACCTTGTTGATTAAGACTTGTTTTGGAACATGCGACTTAAGGTTTACCTTGGATATCTGCATATTATATTGGGATATGTAAGTGCATGGTTTAGCACACAACCACGACATTTCTACTCTAGGTAGCTTAGCCACAGGTCGAGGAATATTCATGTCTCTTCTAATGACATAACTGTTGTCAAAGTGTTTCCTAATTTCTGCTCAATGGTTTCTTTCTCGAGATGTGCCTGTATAGTCGCCAAAGGTATTAAAGCAGGTTTAGAGAGTTATGTGTAATGAAGTTTTCCAGCCGATTAATCACTAGACCTAGAGAAACAGTGGCTTTAATCCTCTTAGAGACCCTGGATTCTGTGTACACCGTCCTGTCGTTTTACGTGTTTACATCAGTGTGTCACAAGAATAATCCCTTAATGATTACTCACCTCAAGCTGGGTTCTTTCTCGTGCTGGCTCGTTACTTTAGTCCATTTTGCATATCAGTGCTTTATTGTAAACACTTAAAGATCTTTTCGAGTTTCCTCAGTACTATTGACAGATTACATTGGCACATAAATGATGTGAGGGAACCATTTGGAATTTCTTTAAAAGTGCGACTATACGCAAGCTTCAATAATGTTAACATAATGTTCGCCATATTTAAATATGTTCTGTAGTGTATGAGAGGATATTTAGTTGACTTCAGCGAAAAAAAATGAAGGAAGAAAAGGTGGGGTACGTAAATAACTTGCGAAACAATTAGAGGAAGAAGTAATATATGTATTACGAAAAGAAGTGAAAGGATAAGATTTGGTGGCAGGATAGAGGTTTATGCAGGAAGCGCTATAAAGGTATAAGTTGTTGCAATGAGTAGTCTCCAGGTGTCAGTTTGTGTGTGGTGTAGATAAAATGAACCTGTAAAAGTGGGGAAACTACCGTTTAGTTTGATGTCGAGTGGGTAGTGTTGTAGCACTGTTGGCATTAGATAAGGTCCAAGTAAGTGCTGGCTAATTCTTGGGCTGACGATATACGGACAGTGACAACACCATATGAATTAGGTTCAAAAAACTCAAGCCGGGAGATCGGATTCCAACGTTGTTCAAATAGGACAGGGGTATTATTCCTCCTAGAGTTAAATTCACTGTTTTGATCGTAAACTACACATCAGAACTACTGTTCAGACTTTAATTGACTTCATTTCAGTTAAATTGATGTTGTACTTGTGTGTATTGACTTTGCTTTTGTGTATCCATTGCATCAAAGCATACTTAGTCGAATTTAACTAGACTTATGAGGTTAAGGTTTGAGTTTTTGTTTTTAAATACCCATTTTTGTGTTACCACTTTTAGTTAATTTCTAAGATGGTCAGCTCTGCTTACAAATATGGACAGCCATATTCCTTATTCCCTGTGGAATAAGGAATGGAATGTAATGAGTGTAAGAAGTGGTTCCATAAGATGTGTACACGCTTAAATCCAACTTTCTATAAAACGCGCCCAAAACTTAACTCTCATTGGCTCTGTATGTTTTGTTGTCCGAGCAAAACATTACTCATCCAAGAGAAATTTAGCCTTCTAGCGTTGGCTAACAAAAAGTTTGACTAGGACTGTACTAGTAACATGGGTAGTGATTGAGAGGAATGCGTCAGTATCGTAAGTGTTGTTACGGCACGTGCCAGCCACACGGCTGTGCAACACGTAATATGGCTTTCTGTCCGAAAACAATCACCGGGCGATACACCATTAGGTACTGGTGACCAAGTTGCAGAAGCATCGACTGATGACCCAGAAAACCATTATCATCCGACTAGTTGTAATGTGGATGCTGCGACCGATGAGATATGGATGATGCGGAAACATAGAAGAGAAAGAAAGCTAGCCACGAATAGCTCCCATTTATTTGAAAGTTCCTTGGTGAACTTTTCGCGCCTGTTGGCAACCCTTGTTTTATTGATAGAAGAAACCCGACTAGTGGTGAATAAGTCTTTATTTAGATCGTCTCGCAGTCACACTGGGACATGGGATTACCTGCACAAACACACAAAGCTTTTCAACATCCTATATAATGCCTATACAAAAAAAGAAGTGAATGGATAATTGAGCTCTACTGTTTTGACATATGCTTAGTTGTTTGAGGTAAACTCTAAACTAATCAATCTAAGCTGTTATATAAGTTTACCATAGAATCGACTACAGTAGGGTCGTCGGTTTGATTAATTTATCAACCAAGTAAACATACCTTCTGTTTCCGCAGCCCAAGGAGTATTACCAAGTTGCTCAGCATTTGACTTCCAGTGGATGGCGACTAAACGAGTCAGCAATCGATGATAATCCATGAATGTCTCTTGTTTTACTAGCTTATTACCTCATTTTGTAGCATTTGATTTCCTCCACAACAATCGCTGATGGTTTGCTATGTGCCCTCTGCATGGTGATCAGAGCTTTTTAGAGTGAAGGAGGTAGGAAAATGTAGTAGGAATGTCCGAGGAAGTGCTGCGTTTCGTCGTACTTGGGACTAGTCAGCTGGATATACCTGCATCCCAGAGTTGATGTTTGTTCTAGGACTCGAACACAGTACCGTTCGCTTCAAACTCTATCGCGTAATCCACTTAGGTACTTAGTCGTGATGGTCACCTGCTTGTGCAATTGGGTGAAGTTTAAATTCGCTTAACGCTGTCTTACTTGTATCTTTCCATTGTTATTCAGCACTGCGATTGATCAGCCTCACGATGACATATACGTATCCTGTGCGGATTGCATGGGTACAACGTTAGATCACAAGCTTTTGTCGCAAAGATGGACAGTGGCCAGCAGTGGGATCCAGGACGCGCACTTCCTTCACATTATGCATTGCAAACTCCTCCTCCAAAGTCTTAAAGTAAGACCCCAAATGGGAAACGTTCCACCTCATCAAACAGTCTTGAGTCATTCGCTCAACTCCCACGACTCTATTACAAAAAAATAACACTGTGGTGCCAAGATCTAACATGCAGAATCTGACATCACGGTCGAAAGCCATGAACACGACTTTTATAGAAGTTAAACAGGTTCTCAGCCCAATTATTTGGAATTTAGAGCAGTCGAAAGCTAATGAGGCATGCACACGACATAAAGTTAGTGGAATCAGTCATGTACTGTTTGAAGAGATTTCAGGAGTACATATCACCAAAGTAAGACTGGATAATTAGATTTGAGGCGAGAACCAACCAATAAGGTTCTTGAAGTTTGTACTCGGGAATTTTGATGAAAGAGACGTACTACTGACTAACACATTCTAAACTCGTGATTCGACCAGATTGACTGCTTGAGGGTCGAACCGAGTGGAACTAAAATGTCGGAAGCTGAATGACGAAATGAATCTTACGATTAAGGGTTCTCGGGTAGCCAGATCTTGTAAGACAATGCTACCGCGACCTGTTTGTGTAGAGCGAATGATTCTCAAAATCCTTTAAATGTGTCCTACCCGGACGCACTTAGTCTTCGAAATAAAACGTCCGGGCTAAACATGATGGTGGATGAATCAAGTTTCGATATAATTGTTGCCACAGAAACTTGGCTCATTTTTGATGTAGACCGTTACCCCATTACTGCAGGCTACATCTGTATTAAAAGTGATAGAGTTATAAGTCGCAATGTTGAAGGCATAATGTTGTATGTTAGAGATCACTTTCGCACACAATCAATCATATCGGACACGCATGTTAGTCATACATTTGAGGTAGCAGGTTGTACAATTAAGTCTGGAAACAAGTTAGTGTCTGTAGGCAGAATATGCCGTACTTCGTGTTGTCTTGCTGACGGTTTTAGCTTAAGACATATCTGTTCGTGGAGTAATGCAGAATGTTGTTTCATCATTAGAGACTTCAGCGCACCGCATATCAACTGGATAGAGCTTAATGCTCCAGGTGGGGGTTCCGATAGCGACTTTCTATGAACCATCATTCAGTGTGCACTTGTACAAAGTCCCGCAGAACCGACACATATTGACTTGGAACGTGACCCGTCATTCCTGGACTTTGTTCTCATACACCACTGTGAGGATGTCGTCGATAGTCAGCACCTTCTCTCACTGCTGAATAATGATCACGTTGTACTTTAGTTTAAGTTTTGAACACATGGCATGCAATATTTACCTGCCCAAACCCCTCCAAATATCTGTCGAACTAATGCTGCGACAGTCAGAGACTGATATCTCGATTGACTAGCCAGTGAACTAGTTGATTGGAGACGAATGGAATAGGTCTGAGGCTACATTCAAGTCCCTAATATCGCTGACTATCACAACTGTCCTTCCATTGATCATCAACCTCAAAATTTGTGAGACATTGGGCCCTAGTGAGTTACATCCACGACTGCTGTCATAGCTTGCGGACGTTATTTCAAGGCCGCTCGCAACGCTCATCAACATGTTCCCTTCACTCGCCGAACTCCCTAGAAACTGGAAAGATGTTATAATCAGTCATATAATTGGGGATGGTCAGTCTAATCACTACAGTCATTAAGCCGCTCGAAAAGAAAATTCAGGTTAAGTCACCAAGTTACATAGATTCTTACAATCTGTTGATTCCGAGCATCGGAATAACAGGTGCTGTACAGAACCGTATGTGAAACATCTTATGTGTCCGAAGACAGTAAGTTTATGGGATGCTACACGAATGGAAGCCGGCCAAATTCGGTGTACCTCAATGCACCATTTAGGTCCCCTACTTTTCCTTTTCCACG